TTGATTTTATGTCATTGTCTGATGATGAAACAAGAGCTAGAGGTCGCTAGTTTCGTAAACTTTTTTAGAAAATGGGTATCAGAAAAGAGCGAATCGATTTTAATCAGAAAGTTTTTTCATTTCACAGCTTCAGAGTTTGAGATTAATTTTTTATGAAGTTAATATTTTTTTATTAATGGGATTTATAATAAGAAAGTTTGAAGATAGCTTTGATGGGGAAGGAAATAAAAATTCAATTTTATTATTAAATTTATAGAAAATAATTTATGCAAAAATGAATTAAAGATAATTGGCTTTTGCTTTGAAATTTAAAACTGAAGTTTATGAAGCAGTAATTTTTATAATAATCCAGCGGTTGTAAAAAAAGCGACAAAGAAAAAATTTTAATATAAAAATTTTAGATCTTTCGTTATTAAAATCCGGGGGAAAAAGTTAAGGGGCTGTGTGCATAATAATGTCCTGAAAAAAATAACAACATTATAGCTTAACAGGAGGGAAAACATTCGGTGGTAAATGACTTTAATCTCGGTGATGATTGTTTCGCGCTCAGCGGGCGGTCTCGCGGGGTGTGGCCCTTAGCTCGACAATATCGCGCTGGGACAAAAACACAGTTGAGAGTGTGCTCTGTAAGTGAGAGCAAAAATACACGGGTACAGAGAGAAAGGTATGTAGCATGTGTACGTAGTGAGGAGAATAATAAAGTCGGAGTCAGCGGAGAGCGTACAAAAGGAAGAGAGTAAGAGAGACGAATCGAACGACTACGACCTGACAAAGGCTTCCGTCTAGGCCCTTGGGGCTTGCACAACGAAATGGCCCTTTGTCGTGGCAGCTGGCGAACAGGTGTGTGGGGTTGAAACCTGGTTGTCAGCTGTTACTTTGCTACTCTATGTACTCCGTACTCTACACTCTGTACTCTATAAGTCTATACATCTATACCCTGGAGAACAAAGTACTCTATATACTTACATTCTATACTTTTTGTAATGAAATTTAAATTATACTTTCATACCAAAACCAATTTTTTTTTTATGTTTCATCAATTGTTCAGTATATGGTTAATTAAAATTTATTGAAAATCGATCTGCCATAGTCATTTATATTTAAATTATGTTAAAATATGTTTAAATTAATAATTTATATAATTTTACAGTAAAAAATTTTGCCTTAATAATTTTTGTGTTGAATATTTTTAACATAAAATTTTTTACTGTATATTTAATTTATATTATTAAGAGAATAAGCAAAATTTTGTAGCCAGTGTATTTATATAATAAAATGGGTTTTTCTGGTTAAACTTAGTGTCGTTGCAAAGGTCTTGATTTGAACTTGTTCCTTTTCAAAATTTCATATCATTCTCAATGATAGTCAATTCATTATGATAATTATTGAGGCTGCATTCGAAAATGCTCTATCTCTATATATAAGCTCATCCCGATGTTCAATTTTTCCATATATTTATATATTTATATATATTATATATTATATATGTATATATGAAAAATATATGAAAATGCATGTGGGTACTCAAATGAAAGCTCTTGATGAGTGTAACAACGGAATGAGCTTATATCTTGAAAATATATATTATATACATTATATAATTAAGAAATCACCTTGTATCTTGTGAACTATTGACATTTTTAAAGATATAAGCCTATCCCGATGTTACACTCATCAAGACCTTTCATTTAAGTACCCACATCAATTTTTCATATATTTATATATATTATATATATATATATATATATGTATATATGAAAAATATATCAAAAATGCATGTAGGTACTCAAATGAAAGCTCTTGATGAGTGTAACGTCGGGATGAGCTTATATCTTTAAAATATATATTATATATATGTATATATAAAAAATATATAAAAAATGCATGTGGGTACTTAAATGAAAGCTCTTGATGAGTGTAACATCGGGATAAGCTTATATCTTTAAAAACATCAATAGTTGAAAAAGTACAGTGCAATTTAATAAAAGTCATTATTTAATAAAACAAAATTTTATTTATTTATAGTTCACAAGTCACCGCAATGACATAGTGACTGCAAGGTTGCTAGTATATTTTAAATAATTTTTTAATTTTCGTATTTATTTTAATTATAATTAAAATGCATTAAAAAGATATTTTAAAAATGTATAAAAATTTTTTATATCGTATAATTTTTATATATTAAAGTATGAAAAATATATATTAAAAAACGAACTATTCTTTGTTTAAAAAAAAAATTTTTTTTATAAAAAATGTCAATATATTATTGCAAAATATAATACAAAGACACAAATTTCAAATGATTAAGAAATTTTTTCATCCTATAATCAGGAAGATCAGATCTCTCCAAGAAAATCCATCGGTAAATCCACAGTTGACAGAGATGGTCATTGACATGTGGAGTGGTTGGAATGGAATGATGGAACTAAAGTAATGGTATCCGACTTGTTATGTCGAGTAGAGAGAATAGATGAGTAGGAAGAGTTCGGGGTTCGGGGACAAACTCCTCGACTCATCGTGGATTTCATAGCAGCAAGGCGGAAGCAGCATCGAATGTTGAATGCTGCCAGAGTATTGATCCGTTTCCCCTCGTACTCGCTCCCAGTAGGCACTTCACTCGGTTCTACCAACCCAAATCTCCTCTATGTACATTAAACTCTGTCTCTACCGCACCCTCTGTTTAAATAAGAAATTTTTATTTTGAATTTTTCAGACTTTCCGCGGGTCCAAATCCCCCAGAGAGGTGTCTAGAGCCCTCTAGAATTTTTCCCGAGTCGATTCGTCCAAAAACTCCCTAGAAATCCGAGTTCGTACATCCGCACAAGTTTTTGTGCGAATGTACGGAAAGTCTGTAGCTCGCGATCTAACTGAGCTATCGAGCTGATTTTTTTTTTGTTCAACTCAGTAATGAATTCGCTGTAGCCCGGCGATAAATCAGCCTCTAAATCCAGGCCTATCAGTAGCAGCGGCGAAATTAATATCTAATCCAGCGGCGGTGGCTTAGCAAGTGCTCAATTAAAGTATGCCCGCCCGCGCAATTCTCGTATTATATGTTAATAATAATGATAGTAAAATAATAATTGCAACCAATGATCGATAGATATAAATCCAGTGGATTTAGTGCTTTATCGTCCGTAGGTGTGTAAAAAAGGTAAAAGTGGGGAAAGCGGACTAGATGGCTAAATAGAAGGATTAGGGAGATTAACTGGTTGAATAGTAAACTAGTGGGAATAATTAATGGCCGTGTGTGTGATGCGAGCGTCAGAAGTAACCGTGGGTGTGTGAGTGAGTGACGCTAAATACACTAGTATATCTTGATTGCATAGTGTGGTATTCGCGGAATCTGCGCTAATCCCCGATGTTGCCGAGTTGAATTGGAAACCTCATTGGCAATCAGTGGAACCAAGAACAGCCCTCTCCCTCTATATGTATATAGCTAGATATATATGTATCTAATAAATCTATATAGTGGATGAGGAAGACTGGTAGTACTGGGTGCGTGTGTATCGGACTATAATCCCATCCTCGTTCTGTTTGATCGATTCCTGCTGTTCCAACGTGTCAACGAATCCCGATATTCCCAGGATATAGGATATAGGGTTCCTCACGCAAATCCTCCGGCAAAGCTTTGTATTGTTCACTTTCTGTGTTCCGTGTTCGCTGTCCAATGTATCTCTATCTATCTGTATGGATGTACAAAGTATACACGATACCCGAATCGGAGCACATCTAAACAGCAAAGTAGGATCTATAGAGGATGTCTGTGTACAAATACAGGCGAAATCCCTCGGGCCTCGGAAAATACAACTACAACTACTGTACATTACTAGGTAGATGCACGTGAGCAAGCAATTACTCCTTTCTACCTTTTCGTACTCACTGACTATGACCTGGAGACAAACTAAATAACCAGATAAATCTATATAAACATTTAAGATAAACAAACTTTGTAGTTTATATCATTTAGAAGTTATATTTTAGTTATATTAGTTTTATTCCGGATTTATTTATTTTTCGGTTTGTTATCAGGCTATTTATTTTTTTTTTTATTTGTCTTTTCTCTGTAAGCTCGGCTTAGTTTTTCGGGTGAAATATTGGACTTATTTAGAGACCTCGTGGAAGGAATTTATTTATTTGACGATCAATAAAGTTTATTTTTAGGAAAATTTTAAGATTTTATAAATTAACACTGGAAAAAATATTAAAATTCATGGGGATTAAATATTTGTAGCTGTCTAATCTGAAAGTTTAATAATTAATATCCGACTTAAATATTAAAACATAGAGAAAAACAGATATCTTGATCAAAGAGTATTTTTTTTATACTAAAAATTTTTATTGAAAAATTTTAAATAATTTAGAAAAGTTTAATTATTTTTCAATAAATATTTCATATTATTTCATTTAAACATAAAATATTTGGAAAAAACAGATTCGAAGTGAACTCACTTACGTTTTGATGGCTGAGTAGTATCACTCTTTATTAAGAGCACGGTCCGATCAGGGTTTGAGTCTGGTCTTGGGTGAATTTTATATTATTTTTAGTTTATCTAAAAATTAATACGCACAAGTCTCAAACATTGATCTTCTTAAATTAAGTATTCATTTCTTCAGCTCAGATAATTATTTATTCATTTTCAACGTCCTGGACGTTTTAATGGAAAGTTATTTTGGCTCAATTTAAAAGTAAATTATTTTCCAATTAACAAGGTTATTTTCTTAATTTGACATTTTTAATCCTATTAATTTAGAAAAATTATTGAATTAAGAAAATTAATTTTTTTTTTATACAAGACTCAATTTTCTAAGTAATTTTTTCTCCTGTCTAATATTTAAAGTACCTGGCAATTAATGAATTTATTTGATAAAAAAAATTGAAAATGAATGATAATGACAGTGATAGAATGAAAATAATGAATAGCGTAATCAGCAATTTGATGAATGGCAAAGAGGTGATTGGAATGAAATAAAAGCGGATGGATGACACGTTTGATTTGACAATGTGTCCTTTAGTCGACCCCTTTCGATTATTTTTGGGCATTGTGTACGGGAAGGTATTTTTGATGGTCTCGGTAAAACGTGACCGCGAGTGCTGGCTCGACAGGACACGGGACAACTCAGACTCACTTCCGGTTCTATTTGGTTGCTGCGAACAAGCTTCCGTTAGTGTTTGTGGAAAAGCGGACGGGCATCCTGAATCCAAGTTGTTGTACGTTGTCTGCTGTCTGTTGTATGTTTTCGTTCGTCAGTCCAGGCTTATACGTTGTTTTTATTTTTTGTTTTGTTGGTATGTTGTTTGGCTTCACTTCAATTCTCTTCTCCTCGTTTCTGTTCGATCGTGTTTGTATTATTGTACGATCAGCTTTTTATTTCTCGGTTAGGTAGGTGATGCTATACTACCGTAGACGTATATGTACACCTCAAATGTGATACATCCATCCAGGATATGCATTGTGAGGTGAATATTTTTTGTGCAACTAACAACTACAAATATTCCGGTTTTTTAATAATAATAATAATAACAAAAATTCAAATTATTATTATCAATCAAAGAATTTTACACAGAAAAAAAGGTTCACTTGAGCCAAGAAAATATTTTTCTTCCTAATTATTTTCTTGAGCGAAGAAAAAAATTTTTTTGACACAAGAAATTTCACTTATTCCAACTAAATTAATTCTCTTGCTTTAAGAAATACGTATCTTGATCCAAGAAAATTTATTTGTCAACAAAATCTTGTTTTGAGAAAATTCAGCCTCCTGCTCCCAAAAATTTAGATCTTGATAGAAGTAAATTTTCTTGTCTTGAGAAAATTTCTCTCTTGCTCCAAAAAATTAAATATAGAGATAGAAGTAAATTTTCATTAATATTTTTATTGATTAACATGTCAAATGGGAAGATCAAATAATATTTCATCATTTTTTTTCATTCAATATGTATAATAGCACGCTAAAATAATATAAAATAGGTATCAAATATTAAAGAGAAAAATTTTCTCAAGGTGTGAAAATTTTTTTTTCTCAGCTGAAGTAGGTGGCGCTGCTTTCCTAAAGTATCTAAAAATCTTGATCAAATATAAAAATTTATTGTATCAAGTATTTATGATAATTTAAATTAAGAAAAAATTACTTCCACCAAGAATACAATTTCAAGAAAAATTTTTACTTCGGCCAACACAATTTTGGTCTTCCTTCAGACTCCTGAAAATTTTCTTAAGCCAAGAATTTTTTTCTCCAGTTAAGAAATTTTTTTTTTGTGCCATAATAACCATAATGTATTCAAATTTTATTATTATTATATTTTAGAAAAATCTTTATAAATAAAATACTAGTTTATTTGTTAAATTTTTTAATGTTTTGATGTTTCAATTCAAAATTTTGAGTCAACTATTGAAAATACAAAAAAAGTATATCAGACTTTTGTTATAGAAAATTTTAATTTTCTACAAAAAATATTCTTACCAATTTTGCTCTATCTCTTCCTTTCTCCAAAATTTGAATTTAAAGTCAAAAAACTAAGTCTTAAAACTTATCCATAGTGTTCAAAAGTTTAAGTCCTGTTTATGGCTAAACTATTAAAGATTCAAAAAAAATATGACACCTTCCTTATAGAGGAATAAATTCTCTACAATAAAAGTTCTTATCAATTTTACCGTATCTTGTCCTTGAGCAAGAATTTTGAACATAATCAAATTCTCACCGTGTTATACAACTATACCAGCTTTTAAATTTACAATTATTTTTTTTTCTTATTAATGATGATTGGATGACGAACAATGTGATTAACGAGGGTGTTATTTTGTGTTTCCAGGTACAAAGCAGCTCATTGCGTGAACGGTGGCGGGAGTCGCCCCGGACCCGGGGGGACCGTTCCGACGAGCGGAGCGACCGGAGGTACCAACGTAAACGGACTGGTAGGAGACCTAGGCGTGTTAGCTCCGCAAAGAGCGAACTACGTCGGAGCGGGTGTCGGGGGGGTTGGTAGCGTTCGTACCGTAGGAAACGCGGGAAGCCCCAGACGGGGAGCTGCTCAAGAAGGTGGAGTACCTCTATCTGCTGGACACCATCACCAGGGTTCCGGGAGAAACTATCGGCACAAACTATCGGCGGGCTGCGGTGAGGTCCGTCATTCTCATCACCATCATCGGCACCACCCACACTATCGCGCCCACCATAGGGGCATGACCATGGGCCAAAAGTTATCAGGTAATTTCATTTTTTAAATAAATTTATATCGAGTAATACACTTTTAAAAATTTTTAATTTAATTTTTTAAATATTAATTAGATTTTTCGAAAAATTTTACTTTAAAAACTTTAAATCAAATTTTGATAAAAATCCCAACATAAAAAATAAAAAATAATAAATTATTAACATTCCTTAAATTAATTACTTTAATTAACTTTTATACGGCAATTTTTAGAATTTATTAATAAATAAATTATTATAGTTATAATTTATCAAAAAAATTCTATTCGTTAAAATAAAAAAAATTATTGTTGCAATTTTTTTTTTTAAATATTTAAATTTATTTGTTCCATTAATTTAAGGAAAAAATTTATCTTATTTAAAAAAATTTCTAAATACGTATTCTGTAATTTTTAAACAAATAACAATTATTTTTTTTATATTAATAATATAAATAAAATTCTCCTAGTAAATTTTACTTTAGAGGGATTAAATCAATTAAAAATCATCCACTCCGCAAATTTTTAACAGTTTAAGCATACTACAGCGAGAGTTTAAAACTTAATCAATAGTTTGTCGAGATTAGTATAAATATGTTGTGAGGTCAAGGTCTGGCTCCCACGGGGACTAAAATACAAGTTTGGTAACTACTCAGTACAGTATCAGTTACAGTATATTCGTACTTGGATACAGAACTTTGGTCTAAATCAACTAGGCCATCTAAGATCTTTAAAACCCCTTCCTTAAACTATCCTCTCTCTCTTGTTCCTCTTTCTTCTCTCATTTCGCCTCCACCCACTCTAACTCTTTACTTTATCTTACAGTACATTAGATTGCGTTACATTATTCTTCTTCCTCCGTTCCATTTCCGCTCGCGCTTTTTTTGACAAAAGAGTTTTATACACGTCCCACGATTTATCTCACTGAGTTTAATGAATTTTTTTTATTTCACTTTAATGGCGCTGTTGAGATTGCTCTTGAAAATAACTATCCGTGTAATTGATTTCAGCAATACAAACACTACAATATAATTTGAGAAAAAGCTTGCAATTTAAATTGTGAGTTAAGTATTGGAGATACGAAGGAATGATAAGAGACAATTTTTGAAGGAAATTTAATTTTCTACAAAAGAAGTTCTTATCAAATTCGTATCTCTCGTACTTTAGTCAGAATTCGGGGTCAAAAGTCAAAAATGTTACTCTTAATCCAAAAGATAATTAGACCGTTTCTTTTCAATAAAATTAAAACTCAAAATTTTTGATTAAATATTGAAGATAAAAAAAATGATAAGATATATTTTTTATGGAAAATTCAATTCTCTCTAAAAAAAAAAAGGTCCTTATCAAATTAATGATATCTTTGATACTTTAGTCAGAATTCGAGGTCAAAAGTCGAAGATATTACCCCTAATTCAAAAGATAACTTAAACGGTTCTTTTCAATAACATTAAAACTCAAAAATTTGGGTTAAATATTAAAGATAAGAAAAAAAAAGGCTATTCGGCAGCCCAAATGGAAGTAGATTTCATGATAAAAAGAATTAAAAACAACTAAAATTATAAAAAAAAAATAAATAACGTTCAATAAAGAAAGAGAAGAATTATTGTACTTCAGTACACTGAGAGAAAATTTTATTCAATAGTAATAAAATTTTATTACTATGTAATAAAACGTTTATTTGGCTAATAAAGGGGAAGGGGAAATAAACAAGGAGGTTAGGTTAGGATGTTTCGTTGAAACATCTTTATACTATTTATTTGTTAAAAGATTTTATTGTGAAAATATATTTGAATATATTATAATTAATTGATAAATATTAATTTTTTTTTTTGAAATTATTTGTTTTAATAACTTAATATTCGTATTAAAAACACATATTAGTATTTAAGAAAATTTTATTAAATACTAATAAAATTTTATTAAATACTAATAAAATTTTATTCATAGGGAATATAATTTTATTACTATTAACTAAATTTTCTTTTCAAGTCCAAATAAACTTTTTTAGTACTATTAAATAAAATTTTCTCTGGGGAAGGGGAAATAAACAAGGATGTTAGGTTAGGATGTTTCGTTGAAACATCTTTATACTATTTATTTGTTAAAAGATTTTATTGTGAAAATATATTTGAATATATTATAATTAATTGATAAATATTAATTTTTTTTTTTGAAATTATTTGTTTTAATAACTTAATATTCGTATTAAAAACACATATTAGTATTTAAGAAAATTTTATTAAATACTAATAAAATTTTATTAAATACTAATAAAATTTTATTCATAGGGAATATAATTTTATTACTATTAACTAAATTTTCTTTTCAAGTCCAAATAAACTTTTTTAGTACTATTAAATAAAATTTTCTCTCAGTATACTTTTCAGTCAGTTCTGTATAGACAAAACGACTGCAAGAGTAAAATTTCTTAAAAATTATCCTAAGATGGATATTTTTTTGCTTTAGAAAAAAATGTGAGCACATAAATTGAAGCTTAATTTCTCAGCTTTCAGATGCATTTTACAGAAATCGAATAACTTGACGCGTTCAAAAGTTATTTGAAGGAGAAGTAGTGAAAGTATCAAATTTTCAAAATTTCAAAATTTTTAACTGGTGTAATTTCTAAACTATTTGACCGATTAAGCTCATATTTGAACTAGACCTTCCTAATAGTCGATATAGAATAAGTATGTTGAGTTTAATTGAGATCTCTTAAGAATTGTTGACACTATCGTCGTGACAAGCCGCGTTATATCGTATATATATATAAATATATATATATATAAACTTTTGAACCATATGTATTTTCTGACTCAGATTGTCGAGTTAGGTCGAAATATAGTAAAATTAACGGAAAATTACGTCATGAGGACAAATACAATAGTTAGATTTTTATGAAATCTACTAAAAATGATAAGGAAAAATTTTCATACACAGAAATAAAGGGTTCACTTGAGCCAAGAAAATATTTTTCTTCCTAATTATTTTCTTGAACGAAGAAAAAAATTTTTTTTTGACACAAGAAATTTCACTTATTCCAACAAAATTAATTCTCTTGCTTTGAGAAATACATATCTTAATCCAAGAAAATTTATTTAAGTCAACAAAATCTTGTTTTGAGAAAATTCAGCCTCTTGCTCCAAAAACTTTAGTTCTTGATAGAAGTAAATTTTCTTGTCTTGAGAAAATTTCTCTCTTGCTCCAAAAAATTAAATATAAAGATAGAAGTAAATTTTTCATTAATATTTTTATTTATTAACATGTCAAATGGAAACATCAAATAATATTGAATCATTTTTTTTCATTCAATATGTATAATTGCATGCTAAAATAATATATAATGGGTATCAAATATTCAAGAGAAAAATTTTCTCAAAGTGAGAAAATTTTTTTCTCAGCTGAAGTAGGTGGCGCTGCTTCCCAAAAGTATCTAAAAATCTTGATTAAATATACAAATTTATTGTATCAAGTATTTATGATAATTTGAATTAAGAAAAAATTACTTCCACCAAGAATAGAATTTCAAGAAAAATTTTTACTTCGGCCAACACTACTTCGGTCTTCCTTCAGGCACACAAAAATTTTCTTGTGCCAAGAATTTTGTTCTCCAGTCAAAAAATTTTCCTTTCTGTGTAGGAAATTTTATTTTACCAAAAAAAGTCCTTATCAATTTTGCCGTATCTCTAATACTTTGGCTCAAATCTCAATATTTAGAATAAAAATTCAAGAAATTCAAAATTTGGTAGTTTTTGTAAAAATGAACTTAGTTTGATAAAAAAAACTTGAATATTTCCGAAAGTAAATCAAATTTATTTATGACGTCCTATTCTGTCGTCCAAGAAATTCTCATATTTTCTCTCGATATATATATAATATATATTTTATCTTTATTTCTGTGCATTTTCGTACAATAAACTACATCACACCATTTTATGTCGGTGATGGGCGAGCCACGGGCAGCAGCGTCCCGAAAAATAGTGAAGCTTACTGTAAGGTTCTTTGCAAGCGTGTACGAGCTTTGGGTCGAGAGAGAATGAGGGATCAGCAAAAGGAAAAGCATAAAAAGACCCAAAAATAAAATAGTCGACTCGGGAAAGTAAAAAATGAGGAAGGCATTGAGCTGCTGGAGAAAGCTCAGCCAAAGCACAAAGCTATCCTCCTCCCCTCGTCCCCCGGCACCCATTTTGCCTCATCCAGACAATAAAAATCGATTTATGGCATTTCATTAATCTGTCCAACGGCTCGCTCCGCAGCTCAACTCCCGCTATCGAGATAAATTTACGATCCATCCTACGTATTATTCCCGTGTCCTCATCCTGATCCTCAAGTTTTTCCCGGCGTCCGCTTTCCTTACAGACTCAAAAATAACCCATCATTCATTTTTGAATTAAACATTTTTCATTTAATTTACGTCACAATCAACTCCGCTTCAATTGAGCTTCACTCGGGATGCTTTCAAGCTTTAAAACTTCATAGCTTATAAACTGATTGACCTAAAAAATTCTACTTCGTATTGATCAAAAGCTTGAGCTTTTAGCTACAGTTTTCATTTTATATTAACCGACTTTCCGTCAATAGTTTCCGAGTTACAGAATTTTAAAGTCAGCTGCTTTTTGATTTCAACGTTAACTTCATTTTACGGGTTTTACTTTTATCATTTATATTTTCCAAAATAATTGGCCAAAAAAATAAATCTTAATCTCATTCGAAAGACTGTATTTTCTTCTAAAAACAGCATAGTATATTGATATACTTTCCTTGAATAGTTTCCGAGATAAAAAACTTTAAAGCAACTTCCTTTTCTAAATTCCCGAAGTATCTTAGATAATACTGAATTTTACTTTCAAACTTTTAAAATTCATACCTTCCAAAGTAGTTGACCTAGAAAAGTCTTCCTGGTTTGCTTCAAAAGCTTGAACTTTCAGCTACACTGAAAAAAAAGTTTTTTTATACCCGGAATACTGAATATTTTTTAGTCGAGTTTTCTTGTACGAAGTAAAAGTCAAGTTAAATATTTTAGATTTAAAAAAACTGGTATTTTAAATCTGAGAATACCAAGTTTTTTAACAGGACTAAAACTAAATTCTATGTTACCATAGCAACCGTGACGGTGGCGCCACTATTTTGTCATTTCCCTCTAATCTACAGTGTACAAAAAACTTTAAATCTACAGTGAACGCGTGTTTTTTAGTTATTAGTTTACCTCGTGCCTGAGTCTAGTTACCTAAATATTTATTTGTGTAAATTAAATAATTTATAAATTATAAATAAAAGTATTAATCATTAATATTACTTCCCCTTACTCCCTTACTTATATGGATTCTTGGATGCAAAAGAAGTTGTCAGAGTGGAATTTATCATCTCCAACAAATTTATAACTCATTTTAGCAATACATTCTTTCCTTATAATCAATTTTTATAATAAGGTAGAAGACCCAGTTATTTTCACTGGCCTAGTTGTTTGACACTTGCAATTTTATTCTAATTAAAAAAATAAAATGTTCTCAAAAAACCAATTATCTTAAAATTTATAATTCAAATATGATGTTTATTAAATTATCAGAATTGATTTATTTTTTTTAATTAAAATAAAATTGCAAGTGTCAATAACTAGGTCTTTTACCTTAGTAATGTTATTAGTAAATTAGTAAAATAATGCTATTAGCAAGAAATTGCAATTTTTTGACAACAATGAGAATTAAAAATAAGAAAAGAAAGGCTTAATATAATATTTTCCATTTTTATTAATTTTAGTGTGATAAATTGTTTATAAATGAAGAATTATAAAAAGTATAGTCTATTCTCATAATTATCTATCCTAAAGATTCGTGTCGATCAAGCGAGGTTAAGTCGGCCATATTGATTGTAGTATTTTAATAATGAGAATACCAAGTTTTTTTTATATCCAGTAAACTTATTCCTATGGATAGTAAACTTTGGTATTCTTATTTTAGGAATACTTTTTTTTTAACCACAGGGAAAAGTTTTCTAGGAGGAAAAAAACTTTTTTTTCAGTGTACAATTTTCATTTTCTATTGACATGTTTTCCCTCAATAGTTTCCGAGTTACAGAATTAAAAAGTCATCTTCATTTTGATTCTACCAATAATTTAATTTTCCGAGTTTTATTTTGATAATTTATATTTTCCAAGATATAACTGTCCGAAAAATTAAATCTTGGTCTTTTCAAAAAGATCAGATCTTCCGCTACAATTTTCATTTTATATGTACCCAACTTTCTTTAACAGCTTTCGAAATAAAAGATAAAGAACATTTCAAAGTTATGGATCCTTTGTGGTGATTAGTTTGGAGATGGTTGTTATTAGAGCCAGCTACTTGGTATGCATGGTTATAATTGAGGGTTTTAATCTACCGTAGAAGAAAAGAGTAATAGTGATAGTAATAATAATGATAATAACAATAAAGGTGTACTCAGATGATGCATTTAAACGGTTGAATTAAAAGTACAAAAGTAATGCCAAGAATTAATTAAGCTAATTAAAATGAAGGATATAATTGTAGGTTTTAGTATTGTTTCAACCAGTAAGTGAGTAACTGAGTAACTCAGTGAGTAACTTTATAACAAGAAAAAAGTATAATGGCTTCTGGGGTCGCTTGGGGTAAATGTGAACCGGACCCGTTCTCCACAGGGCGCACTACAAACGAACAACTCAAGAATAAAAGAGAAATTAGTAATTGCACTTGTTATTTTAATAAACAACTATTATTTTAAAGCTTCTGTTCAGAAGAGTTTCTCACTTTTATAATTCATAATGTAATAAATAATTCGACGGAAGCTGTTTGTGGTCTTTGGTCTTATTATAAGTATCACTATACTTTTAAATCTTGATAATTTAGAAATTATTTACGAAAAGTATATTAAAATAAAATAAAGAAGATTCATTATTTTTAAATGTTCTTTACCCTTTACTTCGAAAGCTGTTGGAGGAAAATGGGCACATATAAAATGAAAATTGTAGCGAAAGATCTGATCTTTCTGATAAGACCTAGATTTAATGTTTTGGACAGTTATCTTGGAAGATATATAAATTATGAAAGTAAAGCTCGGAAAATTAAATTATTGGTAGAATCTAAATGCAGATGACTTTTTTATTCTGTAACTTGGAAACTATTGACGGAAAATATGTCAATAGAAAATGAAAATTGTACCTGAAAGTTCAAGCTTTTGAAGGAAACCAGAAAGAATGTTCTAGGTCAACTACTTTGGAAGATATGAATTTTAAAAGTTTGAAAGTAAAATTCAGTATTATCTAAGTAGATTCTTCGGGAATTTAGAAAAGGAAGTTGCTTTAAAGTTTTTTATCTCGGAAACTATTCAAGGAAAGTATATCAATATACTATGCTGTTTTTAGAAGAAAATACAGTCTTTTGAATGAGATTAAGATTTATTTTTTCGGCGAATTATCTTGGAAAATATAAATGATAATAGTAAAACTCGGAAAATGAAGTTAATGTTGAAATTAAAAAGCAGCTGACTTTAAAATTCTGTAACTCGGAAACTATTGGCGGAAAGTCGGTTGATATAAAATGAAAATTGTAGCTGAAAGCTCGAGCTTTTTGTAAACATGAATTAGAATTTTTGAGGTCAATCAGTTTATAAGCTATGAAGTTTAAAAGCTCGAAAGCATCCCAAGTGAAGCTTTTTGCAAACGGAATTGATTGTGACATTAATTAGCCAAATTTTTCGGGATATTTATCAATATTAAATGACAATTAGTACATAGTAATAAATTTGGTACTGTTTGGTAGCTTCAGAATAATTGTAATTTATGCAAATAATGGCTGTTATTACTGTAATGATATTAATATTATGATTTATGAATTTCAGGCGGCGTGAAGAGCGTGACGCGGGAAAGTGGAGCCGGAACAGGCGGCGGCGTCGGTATCGGGGGCGGTGGTGCAGTAGCGTACAAGCCCGTGGTACCACGAGAGATAGCTCAAGATTTTTCCCGACCTACTAGACTCGATGTCTTACTTGATATGCCTCCAGCGAGCAAAGACACACAAATTCATCATGGATGGAACGGAGAAGATAGAAGCCTCAATATTTTTGTCAAAGTAATTATTATTATTATTATTATTATTATTATCTATATTATCTATATTATTAAGAGAATAAGCAAAATTTTGTCTTGATTTGAATTCATAGTTTCACATCATTCTCACTGATAGTCAATTTACTATGATACATAATTAAGAAATGACCTTGTATCTTGTGAACTATTGACATTTTCAAAGATATAAGCTCATCCCGATGTTACACTCATCAAGACCTTTCATTTAAGTACCCACATCATTTTTTCATATATTTATATATATTATATATATGTATATATGAAAAATATATCAAAATGCATGTGGGTACTCAAATGAAAGCTCTTGATGAGTGTAACATCAGGATGAGCTTATATCTTTAAAAACATCAATAGCTAAAAAAGTACAGTGCAATTTAACAAAAGTCATTATTTAATAGAGCAAAATTTTGTTCAATCATAGTTCACAAGACACGGCAGTCACATAGTGATTGCAAGGTTGCTAGTTATTATTATCATTATTAATATTATGAATTAAAAAAATTTTTTAATAATAATAATAACGTTGACTTGAATATTATTATTATTATTAATTTTTTTATTAATTAATTTTGAATGATACTAATATGTGATTTTTCAGGATGACGACAAATTGACGTTCCATCGACACCCAGTTGCCCAAAGCACAGACTGCATACGAGGGAAGGTAGGATACACGAAAGGGATGCACGTCTGGGAGGTCCACTGGAGTACGAGACAACGAGGCACTCACGCGGTGGTGGGTGTCGCGACTGCCGATGCGCCGCTACACAGCGTAGGATACCAGAGCCTAGTCGGCAACAACGCGCTCAGTTGGGGTTGGGACCTCACGAGAAATAGATTATATCATGATTCTAAAAACTCACAGGGTGAAGTATATCCCTCGCTGCTCAAGCCCGATGAAACTTTTGTTGTTCCAGATAAATTTCTGGGTAGGTTTTCTTTTTTCTTATTCTTCTAAAAATCAAAATCAAAATTTTTTAATGTCATTTTAAAAAATTCATTTTTATAAAGATCAAATATTAAAAATTTTTTAAATTAATCAATTTTCCAATGAAAAATTTTCTAAAAATTCTGGTTTATAAATACTTAAAAAATTTAATTATTAAAATTCTTTTTTTTTTTTATTTAATCTCTTGTTTTTAAATTTAATATAAAAAAAAATTATGAATAAAATTTAGATAAAAATAAAAATTATTTTATCAAAATTTAATTTTAAAAAAAGATAATTACAAAATTTATGACATTAATTTAAAAATTGATAATTAAAATTTTTTATAAATTCAATAAACTCTCTAAATTTTATAAAAAAAAAATTAATCAATTTCTAAGTCAAAGTTTAAAAAAAAAAATTTTTAATTCCAAAAAAAAAAAAGCATAATTAAAAAAACTAAAATAATCAATTATTTTTACAGTTGTCTTAGACATGGACGAAGGAACCCTAGCCTTCGTAGTGGACGGTCAGTATCTAGGAGTAGCATTTCGTAATTTAAAAGGTCGCAAGCTTCACCCGATAGTCTCAGCAGTATGGGGTCACTGCGAGATCACAATGAAGTACATCGGTGGTTTAGATCGTGAGTACCACCCAATCTAACAAACCATTTCTGAATAATTAAATAAACTGACCATTAAACAAAAACTTGAAATTACAGCCGAGCCATTGCCGCTAATGGACCTGTGCCGACGAGTGATCAGGCAGCGTGTGGGCAAGCACCGCCTGGAGAAGATCCAAGAGCTGAATCTCCCGCAAGCTATGAAAACTTATCTCCTGTACCGCGACAGGAGGTAACCAACAGAAGCAGAAGCAGATGTTGATGCAGCCACACGAACCAGCCAAACGAGCCCGTCATCCAACCCAATCTCTGAAGCTCTAACGAAACCACCAAAATCAGAAGCAGAAGCACAAGCGATTGCCAACAAGCCAGATAACAATGTTGTCTTCTCTAATAATAAAGATAAAAATAATTTTATCATTTCGACTGCTATCGAACCGCATCGTTGCAACAAGACCCACCAGGACGCTCCGGGAGATTCTCCAGGAGTTCCACTGCCCAGCGACCAAGCGTCTCATATATTTATCCACGGAATAAATAATTATTACCTAAAACTCTCAATAGCAGCAGTGCGTCTCTAATCTCTCAATTTATTAATTAATTAACAAAGTAATATGTGTATAAGCTTATATTACCATGTCGTTAACGGTAAACCGGCGATTAATCTACCGTTTACAATAAATAAATTTATTATAATAATATTAAATTGTTAGGTAATTGTTTGTTATCATTTTTATATTATTGATGTTCAATTTCTCGTCTCAGATTTTTTTTATTAATTGTTAATTTAAATATCTCAAAAATTATTAATCATTTAAAAATAATTTTACGTGATAAATTAAGTGTGATTTCTTTTTTTTTTTTTTTGTTTAATTATTGATTATTAATTATTAATTAAAAATTGAGGGCCGAAGAGACGAAGAAATATTCTCACGGTTGGCCAGTAATAAATCTAGACTTAGTCGAGCCGTAAGAGAATTTTCGCCTTCGCTAGCTAGTGCATAAAAATTTATAAATAAATATATATTTAAAGACCGGTAAGAGTCTAGTCCAGCGTTAATGGGCATAATTAATTATTAATAATAAATAATTAAATAAAATATTATCTGTGGGGTGATTTGTTTCGGCGAATTATTTTTAAGTTTAAGACTTTGCGGTTTACGATGGAATATGAATATAAATATAAATATAAATATATAAATAATGGACTAAATAATTGCAAGTGTGTATAGTGAATTATTAAAATTATTCATTAATTAATTATTATTATTTTTTATTATATATAATTGGTTATTATTATTTTTATTATTAATTATTAATTAAAGGCAAGACAAGTTCTGTAATTCAATATATATTTTTAAGCATGTAACTTTAAATATTGATTAATTAATTAATCTATATTAATGGTGTGTATCCACGTTATGGGACAGGTTTATTAATTAATTAATAATGATAATGAGTTGATAAGGATAAATAAAATTTAAAGTTAAGGTTATTGTATTGAGCTAGTGTGTGGTAATTTGTGGTTAATTACTAAAGTAAAATAAAATTTGCTTTTCTATAAACAAAAAAAAAAAAATTAAGAAAGTAATTTGAGCTTATGAAAATTCATAAGCTTTTTAATGCGTATGTGTAATTAAAAAAAAATTAAAATTAATAATTAAATTCATTTTTATAACTAAAAAAAAATTTTTTTTTTTTCCTTTTTTTTTAATTAATTTCTAGATTGCTGCTTTAATAAAACTTGTTAAAAAAAATTTTTTTTCTGTTTAAATATTCGGTCGAATTAATTATTATAAATTCCATGGAAAGAACAAGATGACACTGGATATCATCCCAGATTATACTCAGTGATATCTATGGTAATAAAAAATATCAGATAATAGCTTGCAAAATTCAGATTATCCTCATTGTAATCTAGATTATACTCATTGTAATTTGGATTATACTCATTATAATCTGGATTATACTCATTGTAATCTAGATTATATTAGCTACTATCTGAAATTTTTTTTTTCACTTAGTAAAATCTCAGATGATATCCAGTGTCATCTTGTTCTTCCCGTGCAGGCAATCTAGAATAAAAATTATTTTTATTTTTAATTTATAAAAATTAATTACTTTTACAGTATGATTTAAAACAATCCTGTGCAATACAGGTTGTCTTCCAAATTAAACTTTGTTTCGGCAAATTTTTCACGTTAATTAAAACAATTCATTAAATCACTGACAATCGATAAATTTTATTTTTTGTGGATTATATTAATTGAATATAAATTATTCGATTAATTAATTGTAGAAATAAAAAAAAAAAAAAACAATTAATTATTTTGAATTAATTAGAATCAAAATAGAATTAAAAAATTGTGAAGAAGAAATAAAATTTATCGATTTTGGGTGTTTGTTCAGTGTCATAAATCATTCATTTTGAAGAAATGATCTCACAAAGAGTAGCCCGTCCCTGTAAATACAATTGCACACCCGTGTATTGTCTACCGTATTTTTTTTTGTTAAACTAAAAAAAAAAATAATTTGTATTTACAAACTATAACTGAAATAAATAAATAAAAATGAAACAAAGAAAGAAGAAACTGAAGAATTATAATCTAAAAATTGTGGGTGTGCATTACACACTGATTGTATAGATACAAAGTAAAAGTAATTAAATAATAAGTGAATTCATTTATTAAAAATGAGCGATTAAGAGATAAATAATATGTAATAATCATTTATATATGTATAAATAAGATATATATAAATATTATTGATTATTTTTTCTCGAGTTATCCTCATCTGAGTGTTCAGGAACAAAGTAACCTAAACCGCCAAGCCTAAACATCACACAGAGCACATTTAAATAGCGTATTTAATAAATAAACAAAAAAAAAATTATTAAAAAAATAGACACGATTAATTAACATGAACGATGTACATGTACAAATAAATAAAATAATTTATAATGAAGAAATGATTTAACAGGAAGCACGAGCTATGATTTAATAAATTAATCAGTCGATAAATAATAATAGTTTTTTTATTATTTACCGACTATTATTAATTGAAGGTTATTGAAGAAGAAATTGATTTAAAAAATATAATATGCAAACTTGGATGGAAATATAAAGCACTACTGTCTTGTAATAATACTATTTTATAATCGAGCGAGTGGTAGTTCGTTTTAAGAACGGAGGAATCTAATGTTAACGTGTTGTAAATATTATTATTAATAATTATCTTGGTTAAATTATTAGATTTAATGGATATTGTGTTAGTATAGTTATTAATATTATTAATTATTAATTAATAGTTTTCTAGTTTGTTATATTAAGTGAATTTTTCTTTTATATGTGACAATTATTTTAATTAAGTGATTAGTCGGTTTAATTTAAGACTTTGTAATATCCGATACGTGAAGATAGAATTTGTTTTTTAAGGCTGATGTGAGAAACGTTTCTTTCTTTATTTTTTTTTTTAAGATAGAAAGGACAACACGTTAATTGTAAGAGAAACGATTAAAATGATTATAAAGTTGTAAAAAATGATAATAAATAATAAATGATAAAACAATTTATTTTTTATCTTTTTTTTTTAAACATTTAAGATTCTATTAATTTTAATTTTATTATGAAATTTATTTAATTCCAACTATTGATTTTTTTGTATTTAAAATATTAATTTATTCTTTATATTTTGGTTAATATTTAAAATTGATATTAATTTTTATTATTTTAATATTTTATGACAAAATTTATCGAATTTAAATTATTTATATTTTTTTTAATTTTTAAACTTTTATTTTAAAATTTAAATTATTTATTTATTTTAATATTTAATGTCAATTTATTTTTATGAATAAAATTTTAATTACTTCAATATTTTATTGCAAATTTTATAAAATTTCAATTAATATATTATCAAATTTAATATATTAATTTTTTTCTCAAATTAAAATTTAAATAAAAAAAAAAATTTAATAAACTTTAATTTTAATTTCAAATAATTGAATAAAATTTTATTATTATTAAATATGACAATCAAGACTTAAGACTTAAATAAACTCTCCACTAAATAGATCAAAAAAAATTTTTTAAAGCTCCCTAAAATTAAATTAAAAGTTATTCAAATCAATAAATTCATCAAATGAAGAAACACATCGTCTAAATGCTGCCTTAACAAACTTGATTTTATTTCATTACACTGAATTAATCATCCGGTATACAATCACGGTAAAGAACGTCGCAATCATCCCCCCGTAATCCAGCGGCTGCGGCGTCTTCGACGAGGCGGTCCCATCCAGAAATACGCTTCAACGATTTCTTAACACTACGTCTAAGAATACATATTTACATAAATTATCATTATAAATTATTATAAAATAGTGCGGATAAATACATCGAAGAGTTCATCAATGAATTTAAGAAATACTAACGTCAGATATTTCGCAAATCTGATCCCTCGAGACCCGAAGTCCTTCGAGAGTTCCCGGTTTTCTTCACAAATAGTCCTTTGTATGCATCTTACTTTTGAATCGTTCAAAATTTCTTCTTGCTCTGGTGTCTAAAATTTTATAAATTTATAAATATTATTGTAAAAAACTTAAGATAATTTTAGATTTTAGAGAAAAATTTTTTTATGCACTAATAGAAGAATTTAATGTTTATAAATTTATTTATTTAATTTGTTCAAGCAATTATTTTTTAATTTTTAATATTTTTAAAGGTAATAAATATTTATTAGTGATTAGAAAATATTTTAATAAATATCGTTATACTGAGAAAAAAAAATTTTCTTGATACAAAAATATATTTTTGATAATTATCGACAATATATTTTCTTGTCTTAAAAATTGTTCAAATTTATCAAAATAATTTTATAATTAAGGTAGATATATAAAATTTTGAAACTTACTTTTTACTCAAAGATTTAATTAAAAATTTCTTAAATGTTAATAAATACTAGCAACCTTGCAGCCACTATGTGACTGCCGTGACTTGTGAACTATAAATTAATAAAATTTTGCTTTATTAAATAATAACTTTTGTTAAATTGCGCTGTACTTTCTTAAATATTGACATTTTTAAAGATATAAGCTCATCTTGATGTTACACTCATCAAGAGCTTTCATTTGAGTACCCACATGCATTTTTGATATATTTTTCATATATATAATATATGTAAATATATGAAAAATTGATGTGGGTACTCAAATAAAAGGTCTCGATGAATGTAATGTCGG